AAGGCCTTGGGAGAGCGACCACCTGGAGCGAGATGACCCGGAGCCAAAGAGATCCGGAACCAAAAGGGCCGATTTTCCAGAGGGTCCTCACCTCTATACTGGATCTGGATGATGGGACCAAGTGTACCCTGATGAAGTTTGCCAATGATACCAAACTGAGTGGAGAGTGGATGGTTCGGAAGGGAGAGCCGCCCTGCAGGAAGACCTGGATAGGCTGGAGGAGTGGCCTGACAAGAACCTTATGAAGTTCAACAAGGACATATGTAAGGTCTTGCACCTGGGAAAACATAATCCAGGAGTGCAGCACAGGCTGGGACCTGAGAGTCCTGGTGGACAACAAGCTGAAGATGAGTGAACAGTGTGCTGCTGTGGCAAAGAAAGCCAGTGGGATGCTGGGGTGTATCAGCACGGGCATTCCTAGCAGAGATAAAGAAGTCATCCCACTCTACCCAGTGCTTGTCAGGCCACACCTGGAATACTGTGGTTTGGTCCCCGCTATACAAAAAAAAATGTGGACAGGCTGGAGAGGGTCCAGAGAAGGGCCACAAAGACGATCAAAGGACTGGGGAGCCTGTCATGTGAGGAAAGGCTGAGAGAGCTGGGTTTGTTCAGCCCTGAGAAAAGAAGGCTTAGGGGAGACATTATCACCATGTTCCGGTATTTAAAGGGTGGCTACATAGAAGATGGAGACTTCCTTTTTACAAGGAGTCACATGGAAAAGAGAGGGGTAATGGGTACAAGTTATTCTTGGGGAGATTCTGACTGGACACAAGAGGAATATTTTTCACTATGAGAAAAATGAGCTGTTGGAATAATCTCCCCAGGGGAGTGGTGGATTCCCCAACATTGGACACTTGTAAGATTTGGCTGGACAGGGTGCTGGGCCAGCTAGTCTAGACCATGCTTTTGGACCAGATGATCCTTGAGGTCCCTTCCAACCTGGAATTCTATGATTCATATGATTCCCTGCCTTTGCAGCCGCCTCTGCTGGCCCTGCAGACAGCTGAGCTCTTGCTGCATTTGGACCGTGGTTAAACCATGGGTGGTTTGGACAGTCAGTTTGGACCACAAGCTGCTACATCTCTGCCCAGGTGTATACAAATAGAGCAGCTGCTCAGAGGGATGTTGTAGGGTCCTTTGGGTGTGCAGAAAGGTGACGCAGAGCAGGCTGCAGAGGTAACACCCAGCCCCGGAGCTGCCCTGGCCCAGCAGCACAGCAGCACTGGGGAAACCGGCATGCCCAGGCTGGGGCGTGAGGTCAGTGCTGACTGTTTTGGTGCTGGTGACTCAGTTACCCAGCAGGGGACCATGGACATCCCCAATGACATCACGAGGTGGGTTTGCTGCAATTTGTCTGCATCAGGAGGGTCCCAAGGATGCATTGCTGGGACACTGCCCCAGAACACGGGGTGTGGGGAAGGTGAGGATGCCCCGTGCATCCAGGGAGCAGCAGCTGATGCACGTGTTGCTCTGTGGTCAGTAAAAGGCCATGGCACATGGCACTTGAGGGGTTTACACTGCCTGTGACACCAGTGGTTTAAAAACCTCTAGGGTGGGAAATCACTGATCCCAGTGGGGTCTGCAGCACAGGTGCGTTTTACAGGTTGCTTTACAGAGAGTTGATTCTTTGCCCAACTAAATCTCAAACAGAGGTGTCAGCGCTAGCCTGGCTGGAAGTGCCATGGCACTGCTCTGGGGAGGTCACCTGCCGGGTTTTTTAATACATCTAAAATCTTTTGGCATCATGCATGACTTCTTGTTCCCTCCCCTTGAGGGAATAACAGCAAGGAGGGAAAAGGGAACTTCAGTCAAGGCACAATCTGGAAACTGTCGGCTAGACAAAGGCCAGGGAGGACAAGCTTTGGTGCTTCTGCTTCTTGTTGGCTTTGCAGAGGCGCTGGGCAGCACTGGGCTCTCCATTCCCAAGAAAGCTCAAACATCACCAGTGTCCAGCCTCCGCTGGAGACATTCAAATCTCATTCCTGGAGTTCAGGCTCGGCTCTTGGACCGGGGCACCACAGCTCTGCTCCAGGCTGCACCCCACAAGCACAGCCCCATCCGCAGCGTGGCAGGGAGCCTGGAAAGGCTGGGGGTGGCTGGAAGGATTGTTCGAGAGCAAAGTGGTGTGGAGGAGATGTGAGGTGGCTGAGAGCATGGGAGCTCTCATTTTGTCCCCGTCTGCAGCTGGCCTGCAAGCTGCAGATGCAACTCCTCTTTGCTCCGATCCTCGCCTCCCTCCAGCCTTGTTGTCTGCTTCTGCAGGCTCTGGCAGACAAAATGGCTCTTCGTGCTGCTTTTTACTGCAGTCAGCACCCTGGCAACAGCTACATACAAGGCGGGTCTGAGGCTGTTAGGGCAAAGGCGGGCTCCGAGCAGAAGTGAAAGAGGCAGAAACACCACGGGTGTTAGTGTGCTGGAGGTGGAAATGAAGGCAAGAGGCCAGGCTCCATGGGCAGGAGAGCCCCCATCTGCACAGGGACTCGCGAGAAGAGGGCTGGGGACCGGGCAGCCTCCTCCCCTGTGAGAGCCAGCCGGGGCTGGCGAGTGAGCCCAGCTGGCTGGGACAACCTAGCACAGGAGGAGGAAGTGATTCACTTGATGTTTTAGCCGACCTTTGTGTTGACGAAGCAAACAAGACATTGGCTTTATCCACAAGCCCTTCCCAGTCTAGGAACACAGGTCAGATGTCCTGTAAAGTGGGTTTGCTGGGTTTCTAAAATAACACCAAAACAGACTGTGACAACCTTGTGACGAGCACCAGTAGCATGCTGCCGGTCTCTCTGGGCATCTATTCCTTCCTCCCACTGTTTGGGTTTGCAAACGCTTGAATTAAACGTGATCTGTGGGCTCATCTGAATCAAGATCCTCGTGCTCTGTTTCCTCTGAAGCCTGTGGAGACCCCCAGTGAGGTGCCTGCAGGTCTGTGGGGACTGCAAGGGTCTGCTGGCAGCCTCCCTGCACCCACGGGCATTCCCGGGCAGAAAGCAGTTGGATCCAAAGCATGTTCTGGACAGCCACCCCCTTACTCGGCTCCTGTTTGCCTACGTGGAGGCTGTAGGAGACCACACAGCCGGTTATCCCATCTCAGAAGGCACTCAGGTTGGTCAGGTGAGACGTGCCCTTTGTAAATCCCTGACGGCTGTTCTCTTCTTTTCCTTCAGGTGCTTGGCTGTGATTGCCAGGAGGATTTGCTCCATCACCTTCCCAGGGACAGAGGTGACGTTGGGCAGGCTGCAGCTCACCAAGCCCTCCTTGCCCTGCTCAAAGCTAGGTATGATATTTGCCTTCTCCTACTCACCAGTAACCTCCTGACTGCTATGATTGCCCAAAGAGGTCAGAGAGCAGCCTTCCCAGGGTATCAGCCAGCTCCCTCAGCATCCCCGAGTGCATCCCACCCGATCCTGTGGACTTGTGGGTGTGTTCCCTAAGTCAGCCTTCCTTTAGGATGGGAATGCTGCTGCACTCCGCGGCTAGGACAGGGCCCCAGGAGGTTTGAGGGCAACCCCCAGCCACAACAACTGGATCAAAGGCAGCCTTGAGTAGCTCGGCTGCTCTGGGTCTGTGGTCACTAGGACCAGGGACCAGAGAGGCTTGAGGACCTTATGGGCCAGTGACGGCCCGGCTGCAGGAAGCCCCCGTCTGTGTCGCCAGTGCCCACGGGCGCTGCCTCTTGAGCCAGCATCTCCTGGAGCTGCGTGGGGTGGGGGCATCCAGGGTGCTGTGAGTCACCCTCTTTGCTAGAAAGAACTTGCTTCCGTTTTGCCCCTGGAAACCTGTTGCACTTAATAGATTCAATCTTTGAAATCTGCTGCACTTAATAAATTCAATAAATTCTGGTATCCTTCCTCATTCCAGCTCAGCTTAGCCCCACTGTGACCCAGCAGATACATTGGGGACTTTCCAGAGGTT